TCTGCCAAATTTAGGGGAGTTTTTATGCATATCCCTCATCACATTCATAAAGATGAAATAAAGTCTGGTAACTCAAGAAAAAAATAGTAAGGACAGCAGCAAAACCCCCCTAAGAGCCCTTGAAGACAGACACTGATGAAGAAGAAGGTATTGCAGTTCTTGAAGAAGACTGGACAAGGCTGTCAGGATTGTCAGGTACCTACCTTGGCATATCTTTCCGGGAGTATAGTTCACACAGACTAACAAAGTTGTTGTCTTCAGATGATGCAAAAATCTAAAAGTCACCTATCAAAAACACTGCTTTCATCAGAAAACTAGTAGTGAGCATGAGACCAAGTATGGTGAAAAACATGTAATCTGAATAATGCAAGTAAAATGTAGACATGCAACGATGTGAGGTTAGCGTCAACATTATTTCTGATTTCCAGATAAGGGAATCATGTAAGGCTGGTGAAAGTTATCCACTGATCTTAATAAATCAAGATTACAGGAATGAAATCCTTGAGAGTGTTGTGAATAAGTTGTGGAGTAAATTCAGAATTTATCACAGAATACTGTTACCATTGGGAGTAAACCAACTATTTTTTTTTTCCTTGTTAGGTAACTCTGCATCCAGAGAGAATCTAGCACATTTGATGATCTTGGTATCACCTTTACTTACCTGACACTGCAATTTCCAAATATCTGGAGGAAGAAGACATGCTAAGGACCTAATAAAGAAAATTACAATAATAGTCCCCAAATAGTCCACAATAAGCATCAAAGAGGAGAGATTGTTCTTGAGCTGTCACACAGTAAAGAAAGCTGCCAGATGACCAGAGTAATTGAAAGACATTGTTTCCCATAACTAGGTGCATGTTTTTAAAGTATAAATATTTGATACTTTTCTTGTCTTCATCTCTCTGCATCTGCTACAACACTACCCACAGTCCCTCATTCTTCTTGTCACCTCCTCTACCTGTTTTATACCTCCCTGCACAAAACAGGGCCAGAGACACATTCAGGTCAGGTAGGTACTGCTGTCTACTGCACTGACAACAGTATTCATGCTGCCTGAGACCAAATAGCAGAATTACTCAATCAGGCCTGATGAGGGATCATGCTCCTTCTTGCAGTTACTAGTGTCATTGGTGATATGGCAGTGGACTTCATCAAGGAGGAGCTCTGGACAAAAGAGAAGAGCATCTCTAAACTCTAACACAACACCCCTCTTCTCAGGGGTGAAGTCCTTTAGGGACTTCACATGCATTGCAGCTCTGCTCTGATACGTTACTGGAAACAGCCTTGTGGCATTGACATTTTATTTCTACTGATTTGTTGGTTTATGTCAGGCAATTACCAGGTATTCTTACAAAAAATCCAAAAGTTTAAAGGAAAACAAAAAAAAAAAAAAATCACTGCAGGGCTGAAGTTGTAAGATCCGGGCAGTCACACAAGTTAATCACAGATGACTGAGGTGGAAGAAAATATTAAATACCCACCTCTAATAAGCCTTGAGCAAACTATTTACAGTTTGTCAGAAGAGCAGTGCTAAAGCAGTGGAAGCACTTGTATTTACAAATACATTTCTCACTGCTGCCATGTTCCTGAGCTACTATAACCTAAAACAGAATGGAATTAGATAAACGTGATCTTAAGACTCCCACTTCATTCACATGGCTAAAACCCAGATGTTTTAAGACTTTTCCTTTGGAAAGCAGTCTGTAAAGAGGACTGTATTTTCCTGTCTGCAGAACTCCAACATTTTGAGCATGGAATGAATTCCAGCCCTTTCCTTGCTTACAGATAATTTGGGGTTTTTTTGTTTGATTGGCTTGGTTTCTGTTTTGTTTTTGTTTCATTTTGTTTTTAATGTGCCTTGGAGAAGCAAAAGGACATGATGTAAGACATTAAACCTCCAATCCTAGGACCTGACAGCTGTCAGAGAATCTCCCAACTCCTCCAGATTACCTTTCACTTGTTTACACACTGTCCAGTTCCCAACATCAAATACACCTGCACAGACCACAGACTCAAATTTCACCAGGAGAGCATCTGTGGTATCCTCTTGCATATTCCTGGACACTGCAAAGCTCTCCCGTATCCCCGGCAAGCTACCAGATATTGCCCCACACACCCTCTTACATCATTGCCAGAGCACTGCAAGTAAGAAAAAGAGGCCAGAATAATTCTAGATACCTTCCAACATGGGCAAAAAGTCCCCAAGCCCCACCCCACCTAGAAGTAGGTGTATCTTTAGCATGAGAGGTGCTTTCCAGAACCATGTGTTTGGGAGGATAGGAAGAGAAAGACTTCTGGCTTCCACTCTCACTTACGCAGGAGAGAGAGGTAACTCAAAAATAGGAAGAATGGTGGTTTCTTGTGCTCCTCTATATCAACACTTCCTCCAGTTCCCAGTACACCTGCAGTTCAGAAGTTATTTCAGGATTTTATCCTCAAGTTCAGATGGGAAACAACAAACACATTAGAGAACACCAACACAAAAGGATGTAGCTCACCTTAGGTTTGCTACAATATGCCCCTGAGCCTGACAGCTACGAAGAGAAACATCATTTACAAACTCCCTCCCAACAGGCAAAAATCCTACCTAAGCCCTCAAATAAGAGATTCCTCCTACCTGGTCTAAGCTGCAGAAGCTGCAGACCTAGCTATGTTTTCTTTTTCAGGAGTTTCCAAAGACAGAAAGGTAAGGAGATGCCCAGATGCAAGGAAAGGGGAAAACAGAAGGAGAAAAGCAGAAGGATCCAGGGAAGGCGTATACACCAGGCTAACTGAACTCCAGTTCAGCTATCAAAGTCTAAGCGCTGGTGCTCTTTTATAAAGGACAGAAACTCACCAAAGATTCATTTGTAACACAAATGCAACATTTTAATATTGAACACCTTAAAAAATATAAAATACAAACTTTAACAACTGCTTTAAAGAGGGGATTCTGCTTCTAAGCAAAATGAACTTAAACATCCAAGAAATTACGAACAACCCCAGAGTTTCCATAGAATGTTAGAAACTCTTATTGGAGATCTAAGTCTAGAGCCACATGACTCAATGTGTTCAGCTGATGGAAAACAAACCCCAAACATTTCAGTACAAGTTCACATTGAAGGAATGCCCTTTAAGGCCTCTCAATTTGTCTTAAATTAATATCCTACTGAGTTAAAACTAATACAAAATCCTACATAATAAGAACCAGTGTGTGATTTTCACAGTCTATATTCACACACACAGAAAGAGAGTCATACCTGATCCCACAGTTTTCTCTCTGGACCAGAATCTGACATCACTGCACTGTCACCAACAAGACAACTTCTTAAGACAAGTAGTATTTCCCATTCTTAAAACCTAAACCATATTTTATTAACGACTAACAGTGCATCCTTCTAACAAGACATCATAAAAAAACCCCACAAAACCAACAACCCACAAACTGAACATCAGTACAAGAGAAAGACTGTTTGGCATAGGTGCAAGCCCCAAAGTTTCCTGAATGCAGCAGCTCTTCAAAGGTAAATCATTGCTAGCTTTTTTGCACTTCTGAAGCGCAAAGGCTCTGACACTGCAAGTAGCCTGTGATAGAAACTAGCACTGATAGAAACAAGGAGGTAGAAAGGATTAACACTTCTTAAAAATGTGCACTTTCTAGGCTTAAAAAGCCCTATGTCAGAGTAATGCAGGAACAGGGAAAAAAGAAAACCAACTTTTTCTCCCCACAGACTTCACAAGATGGTGCACCTGAACCTCCTGGTGGTCCCCCCAAACAGTAATTATTTACCCCAGTCTTATGCCCAATGAACTAACAAATAGCAGTCAACAACATTTCATAATCCAAATAGGATAAAACAGAATACCTAAAACCAGACTCAAGTGAGTTCACCTTTGAACAAAAGAACAAGTGTCCTTAAACCAATTTGATTTTTCCTTGTAAACTCTTTGTAAGCAAAGTAGACCTGAATGGTGATATTTTGTTGGGGGGTGGAGAGGGGTTGTTTGTTTGTTTTAAACAAAAAGCAGAGAATATTTCTTGTAGTTTTAGTAGTGATGCTGGCCTAAGAATCAGCTACGGTCGCCTAATTTAAAGCCTTCCTGAATGAAGAAAGCTTTTGCAAATGTATGCTGGGAATGGAGTTGCAGTTAAATTGAACACCTTTACATAAGCATGATGTTTCCATATGAATCAGACTTAATAGGAGTTGCTTAAAGCGTCCCTGATGATTTTATCATTAGCTTCAGCTCCTTAGGAGGGGTCCAACTGCCCAAGTACATATTAAAGACTTATTAGGTAGAAGAAAACGCTTAAGTTGTATGCATTATCTTACAGACGGATGTTGCACTTAACTACACTCTGGTGATAAAGATCTCTTAAACTGCCTTGACAAAATACATCACTGGCCAAAATGTCTGCATGCTGCAACGAATGAATGGGCAGTGGATTTGATCAACTGCTGTTTGCTGATGCATCTCGATGCATGTATCTGTCCAAGTCTGAGTCAGCATCTTCAGAGGTACTACAATCTCAACATTACAAAACAGAGATCACACGTTTGAGTGAGAAAACAGAACAAAGCAGTGGTCACATTTGCTTACAATGCATACATTCACAGCACAAAGCTGATCAAGTTGTAGAAGCTTCAGGATGTTGAGAGACTGGGAGCCCAGTGGTAGGCCGAATTCCAGGAGCAGATGACTGGGATGAGAGACTGGTACTTTCAGGGAGGAGACTGCTGGGATTAAGAAGGGGAAAAGCAAGAGATGCTGCTGCAGCAGCTTGCCGTCCTAGCAGAAGTCCTAATCTATAGATATTTGAATTAATGAGATCATTGCCTGGGAGGAGTATATTCAGTTGCTTCTGAATTTCTTGCAGGACCTGCAGCTGACTTTGCTGATTCAGAAGAAGCATATCCATATTTTCCCTCATTTTCTTCACTGTAGGAAGAAAAGATAATGTTAAAGCTTGCTATGTAAAAATGCTTCACGTGGCAATTTAGAAGCTTTTTTATACTTACACTCTTCAAGAACAAGATTCGAGTGATCAGTCTCACATTTCTCTGCACCACATTTTTCCTCTTCTTTACGATGCAGAGATGTAAATTCAGAATGGTTTGCATCTGAAAGGAAGACAGTAGAAGTCAAGAGCCCACTTTACCACCAATTGCTATGTCAGCATTTTAAATATGCTTTCACACAAGGAAAAGTCAGTCTCAGTAACAACTCTTCCTCTCATCCCCATTTTAAACTTAAAACTTCATTCAAGCCAAGTGTTGGCCCAAACTAAGCCAAACCAGAACAAAGACCAGACAAATATAGCCCCCTGAAATATTACAGACTTGGGGCTTATCACAGTGAAGATACCTTCCTCTTGCTTCCTCCGTATTCTTTTTTTTTGTTGTTTTGGGTTTTTTGGGTTTTTTTTTT